TAGGTGGCTTTGCCGCAGATACAAATAAATAAACGTCCGTTTTGGATTTCAAACAAAAGTGTTAATTAGCCTTGGGTTAAGGCAATAATTACTCTTGGAGTATGCGGATTGCGATCCGCTAAACTCGTTCTTGTTCTAAGTATAGAACGAAAAGTCGGTGACCTAAGCTACGCTTCCTCTAAGCGCAAAGCTGCGGCAACCCCGCTGCAGTGTCATTAGCCATTTTTCTAGCAAGCCCGAATTCGCTTTGTGTCAGAGTCAGCGGAGAACAGTGGTTGGTTAGCTCGTTGATCGAACTTTGAGAGCAAAGGCGCCGGGTTTCGGCGAGGATAGTCAATATGACCATTCTGATTGGAAACACTTTGGCTTTCTCACCGCGAATCGCCCATTATACGTCGACCGCGGAGGCTGCATCTTCACCGAGGGCCCGACGAGGCCAGGGAACACGCAGAGAGAGAACTGTCGATGCGGATGACACTCGCTCGTAGGAGTAGTTACTGGTGCTCGTTTAACGCCTGTTTTTACTTTAGGTCTTTCACAGTTATTGAAAAACTATAGATTTATTGTATCTATCTCACTTTTGAAGTAGCAGAGCAAAATAAAGTATCTAACTAGTCGGTCCCTTGCTGGCTAAAGCTTATGAACCTATTCTCTTTGCGTGTGTTCATTCAGACTCGTTGCGTCAACATGTTTTGTGTCCAAAATGCACGGCAATCGATAGCACAATTGGCACCTGGTGGTGTTCACTGTTCATAAACATGCGCGGGTGAGATACCTCCAGGAAACCCCCCAGCAGGTATCTAACCAACTCCCATAAAGCACTTGAGAGTGAGACCTACTTTGGCGAGCGATTTTCATAAGTGCAGATACGAAAAAAAACTCTCGGTTTTGATACAAAAGTCTTTAAAGGCAATTGTAGAAACTGCGCAACGCTCTGTTTTATGGGCAACTGCACGAGAATTATAATCCATGCGGCAATTCCTAAACAGGGAAATCGAACAATTCAGACTAGAGTCCTCGTCTGTGCTTGTCGTAGTTGTGTAGAAGGAGTTGATTGTGTTCGCGCCATCTTGCCAGGTTTATATTTCAAGTTCACCCGTCAAAGTAGGATAATGTGCTGATTTTCAGAAGCCATGATGGCGGGAGCCCTCGTATAGAAGCGCCAGAGGTTTCCATCTCTGTGAAGTATCTCACTATAGTTGTGACTTGCACTGAAGACTTTCGTGTCTGCCCGACCTCTCTTGAGGACGCGGCGCAGAAAATTGAAATTATATAACTACGCTAAAGACGCTGTACGTTAGCCAAAATGGGGATGAAGGGAGTGAGTGATCTGCTGGGCACTTGCAGAAATTTTATCTGCGTGGTTACGCCCTGTGCATCTTTCTATTATTTTCTCTTTCGGGTGAGAAGGTCGAAGGGTCGATTTCTCACCTTTGCGGAGAAAATCGAGTTCAGTAGCATCTGAAAAAGAACTGAGTTTTATTGTACGTTGTGGATGTCGATATAAGGGGATGAATTTCTTTAAGGGAGCACGCTTTCTAAGTGGGGAGTGTACGACCCAACATTGTTGACGGTCAATATTAACGCCAACGTTTTGTGGAGCCATGGAAAGGCGTGATACATATAGAAGCCTCCTGCGGTCACGTATCACGCGCGATTGCTGAAAACATTCGATAGAACTTAGTGGCAGTCAGGATACCGAATATGAGTACAATATGTTTGCGTCTCGCGACAGCGACGTCGATTTAATATCATAGATTGTGTTGACACCTTCTATAAGGTTTGGGAACTAACGCTGTTTGACCTTGTTCTGAGATCGGACTCCCCCCATGTATGAGCTATGGATCGATTAAAAGTCGAAATTATAGTGTTAGAGCTCTTGTGTGTCATGAACCCAGATCTGCTTGGAAGTATGGCGTAAACATATCGCTGTGACAAGTTCGGTGCAAAACACTGCATCCCTTGGGCTAGACTTATGCCGAGACCCTTGAGCTAAGCTTGGAAGCCAGAAGCTGCAACCTCCGATGTGTATCTCAGATGACTCAAATACTTATAGCCAGCGCTGGTCTCCGAGAAGTTAGCTTTGGTGTGACAGGAAAGAGCAATCGTTTGTCACATCCTCCAGGGCACATGCCTGTGGAAACAGGTGATTCAAGTCGCGAGCGATGTAACGGCCCAGTGATGTGCCCACTGTGCGGCGCAATGACGTGCCTTGAGTTTATGACAAGCAATCATGAATGAAGCAACCCAAATACAGATCTGCAAGAGACTATCCAACTATTTCGAAGTAGAAAATGTGAGCAAAGCTCATTTTTTTGAAATGCAGTATTATCAATTATTTGTCCTCTCCGAAGAAGTGTGTATGGCTTGGTATGGCAGCAAAATGCTTGGATTTAAGAATGCATAGCAGCTCGTGACGTCTCTGCTGACTAACGTGATCTGCATTGCACCCTGTCATAATGCGAAATGGGGAGAACAAATCAATGGCACCGCGACAAAATTTGCTGGAAACTTGATTCAGAAAACACTCACATGAACCGTTTTGCTTGATTAGAGCTTTGGACAAGCTATGGACATCATTTTGATGACGAAATATGTAGCGAAGTTCTTCAGCTACACTGCATGTCCACGCATTGACTTAGTCTAAGAAGCCGAAGTCGGAGCGTTCGCAATTGAAAAAAATAAAACAAATACTAAAGCTTCCTCGCATATGACTCGACACCTGACGTATAGGCGACAAGCCGCCAGTTTCAATGCGATAAAGCACAAAAAAAGCTACACAAGCTGTGTGGAGAAACTCAAAAATGCGATGGCACGAAAAATTATCGATTTGAACTCTGCAATCAAGCACAAGGCATCATACGCAGTCACAGCTTGTCGTGTGAAGCTGAACCAGATTTTCGTGTGAGTATGATCGATAAGTGATCGCTTTATCACCATAACTTTGTGGGTTCGGCGATGTGATTTCGATAGGAGCCTGCGTTACAGATTTTGACGTTTGCTAGGGCCTGGCGAGCATATTCGCTCGAATTCAAGCCAGCATTCTAAACCAGAAACAAAGATATACGTCAGCCTTTGACCTTGAGTTATTCACCTCAGTCATCAGCTCACCCGAAGGGCAATGCCAAGCTTAAATCTTGCATTTTTGAACAGCGCCTCACAATCATATCCATTCATTGGAAATAATCCTGTTTCCTGCCCATCACAAAGTTACACATGAGTGCCATGATAATTACAACGAGATGATATACATCGTGCCGTGATAGATAGACCCTCCTGAGCAGCCACAACATTAGCACGAAAGGCAATAGTCTCCTGTCGGGTGCGATCTGGATTAGGCTGACGCAAAAATGAAACACAAGGTTAAAATCGTTGGCGACATAAATGTTGAAATGTGTACGCTTTCTTACCGTAATGTTGACAATACTCTGAGCGTAAGGTGTTTCCTTTTTCAATGCATTTAAAGCTGCCAGCCTCTGATCTTCGTGCTGAATCTTGATCAGTTCTTCCTGCTTTAAATGATTCAACTTGCGCTAAAGTAGTTTCAATGTAAACATGTGGTCTGTGGGGTGATAAACACAACAGAACGAACCTGAAATGCGTCATGTCGAAACTTCACTCGTTCGGCATCGACAGCACTCTTAAGTACTCGTTCATCGAGACGCTTCTGTTCTTCTTCCATAGCAAATTTTTCTTTCGCCATTTGCTGTAGTCGTTTGTCGTTTCTGTATTCGTCAATTGCTAATTTCTGCTGATCCTGCTTTCGACGCTTCAGTTGTTCCTCTTCTTGTCGCTTTTGATATTCTAGCAATTGCTCGATTTCAAGCTGCTGCTTCTCAATCCGTTCCTTGGCTTCCTTTGTCACACGCCATTGTGAAACTTGGTCACGTTGCCATTCACATTGCTGCTGCATTTTCTTCACTTGCTCAAATTTCCGTAACGTTTCTTCGTTCCGTTCGACTTCCTTTCGAAATTTTGTTGTGGCACGGCTCTGTTGTTTCTTTAATTTACGCTGGAACTCTCGTTGCCGATCTTTTCGTTTTTCTTGATAAAATTGAAGATGCTGGTGAAATTTAACATGCTTTTTAACTTCTTCAAGAGAAACCTTGGGTAATACTAACGCAACTTGATCGTATAACAATTGTGGATGCTTTCTACCGCTCTTTTTCTTGTAGCTCAAAAGAGCACTCAAGAAGCGATTTTCATCTGCGTCACTCCAGCCACCACATAAAGAAGTTGCAGCTTCGATACTCCCTGCGGCATCACTAGCAGACGCAGCGGTGATAAATTCCTGCTCGTACTGGACAAGATCTTTTTGAACTTGCGTAAAAAGGTCCCGAAATTCATTCAGCATTTCTAATCGTAGCATCTCGTCCGAGCACTTGTTCCCACCAGCAGCCTCAACAAGTGCTGCAATTTTGTGTTCTTGATCCGATAATATACGGTCACTGACATCGCGAAGTGAAGTTAGCAATTTTTGGTAAAAAGCATTGAAATCTTTTTCACATGACTGCAATTTCTCTTCCATCGTGACCTCAAGCATTTGTCGCCCGATGATTGCATCGTTAATTAATTGACTCACATTTTCCTAGTCAACGAAGATTAAAGCGAATACCAGAAGCATATAATACATAAGCGAGTCAATCAGTGACGCACCTGCGAAGTTTCTGACAAACATTGATTATCACCCTTCTTGTTGTCTCGCTCATGAAAGCTTGCCATCAGAAAATGCTTCAAAGCTGCTCTCTGAAGTCGTGAAATTTGTTGTTAACCTTTTTTTCACGTAATATTCATAATTGTGCACCTGCTCTCGTTCAGAGGAGATTTGGTTCATCAAAGCTACTCGATTGAGCTGCTCTGTTCGTATAAGGTCTTCTATTTCTGTAGCGTATACCATGCTGGACAAGCCATGCATTGTAGAGCCTTTAGTCAGATCATCACGACATTCATCCTCGTTGTTGTCTTGATTATTATAATCTAAGCTTTCATTGCTTGTAGTGTGTTGCGCCATCCTCATCGAATCTGGTGCAGCAGACGCCTCGTTATACATCCGCAGTAGTAGAGACTCAAGTTCCTTAGAGCATTTCTAAGCCAGTAAACGGCACATCACCATACACCTGCGAGAATATCCAAGGGACATGAACTGACCTCTTCCAACTTTTTAAGACGACTATGCTCCTGAAGCCAATCGAACTGTGGCAATAGTCGTGAGTTCCGTCACTATATTATCATTAAACTGACCTTGAGAGCATTTGCTTGTGTCGTCTCCTTCTGATTTTTGGATATCTTTTCCATTTGTAAGATCGTCTACAAGCGTTTGTTGCATAAGCTTAGTAATCAGCTTCGTTTAATTTGGCAGACTCACATTGAGAACATCATCCCCTTGAGCTTGTAATTGGGATGTCATTTGAAGCTGTTGCTCGATTGTAATTCCTGCGGTCGCGCGAAATACTTTCTTGCGCACATCTGTTTAAAAATCAAAAACAATGAAGTACACACGATACCACCAGATCCTGCACTACCTACACATTGAGACCGTCGAAGCTGATGATTTACACTCTGTTTATCAAGGGGCACTAAAGAAGTAGCGATTCAGGCTATCTTTAAAACGATAAGCCAGTATATTAAAGAGGAGCCTATGTTTCAATCAAATTATAAAGCCAAGTAAACTAGCGCGTGCCTGTACGAGGACGCACGAAGCCTTCCTCCTTCGACTCATCCATGTAATCTTCCTGCTGCGTACAGATGCGTAAGATTTCTTTTTTGCTCGACTCCTGCTGGTACCCGCCGATAAACAGTTCGTCCAGAATGTAATACGCCTTAATAATTCAATTCATTCAGCATGTAATCCGACTGAGAGAACTTAAAAACTTACCTTGTGGAAGTTAAAGATAATATCCAGCTCGCAAACCTGCGAAAAATGTACTTGTCAGCCTTCACGTATCTCTACCTTTAAACTTACTTCATACATTGCCAAAATAACGGTCCAGCACTTCTACAAAAAGATGGATTGCTTCTAGTGTGATCAACTCATTCTCGTCCTTCGAGATGCACGCAATAAAGTACAGACTCGCGTATCTGAGCACCGAAAGCATACACCAATCATCACCTTTTGTTCCTCTCCACAGGGATATTTCTACCTCCTAACCTCTTGTACACAATCTTCTTCTCTTTGAATTCAATAAAGTTGCACTGTTTATGAGGACGGGAAAGCACCAACGACGTGATGTCACGAATCATGCGCGTCTTCTCCTTAATCGACGCGTTCAGGTACCACTTGGCCAAACGTGTCTTGCCCTGGCGGCTCACAAGAAAAACAGACTCAATCTGCATACACACAACGATAAATGAACTTGATATAGATACATAAGATGCTGGCTGTACGTTACCATGGCAAGGAGCACGAAGCCACGTTGATACTCGGCTGAAGTGGCACAAGCATTCGGTGCTTAAAGGCGTACATATGGTGTCCGTTATAGTTTAGAATTTCAACCAATTACAGTGCTGTCACTACTCATGAATCACATGCTGATGCAGGTAATGTGAAATTGCTGTCTGGTCTTGCAGACTGACATTAACTGATCTGTCCTCTGACTAGTTTCGCCGTCGTATCATGAATGACACATCCGGCCCGATAGCACGCCGTATCCACGAGAAGTTGTTGGCAGCTTTTGCTCCTTCTCACTTGGACGTGATTAACGAAAGTCACATGCACAATGTGCCTAAAGGCTCCGAAACTCATTTTAAAGTGGTGGTCATCTCCAATGAGTTTGACAACATATCGCTACTCCAGCGTCACCGCATGGTGAACACTGCGTTGCAACAAGAGCTAGATGAGGGCGTGCATGCGCTCAGTATTCTAAGTAAAACGCCAAAGCAGTGGGAGGATAGCTCACAGGTCAAGCCATCGCCAAGCTGTCGCGGTGGCATGGCCGTAGATTCGAGAAAAAAAGAATTTTTGAAAGATCTTGAGAAGAGAAATCAGAGTGATTAGACTGAGGTAACACTTCCCGAAAATCATGCATAATGCTTTCTTCTTTTTTCAATGCTAATTCATTCATTAAGACCGGCGGAGGTGATTCTGCAGCACATTTAGCATAACAGAAAGCAGACCGCCCGCTAGGACACCTAGAATTTCTTCCTTGTGATCTATAATCACAGTCCACACCTTTTGAACGGAAACTGGTAGCTGCTTTTTCCATAAATTGAAGTGCGAAGCGCTGTAGCCAATGTCGTCAGGTACTGAGACATCTTGTGACGCGATATACTGATAGTGCATGCGAGCGACTGCTGTCATTAAGCAATTTTCGATGTCAGCTTCTTCCTGTGGTCGCGTTATAAAGCGCTCATCCTTATCCGTTATCAGCAGCACATTATCGAAACGAGAGTGCAGCTCATTCGCTACTACCACGTGCATAGAGTATTTGGAGATCGCCTGTTGTGCTTTCTCGCGAAGAATCTTCCAGTCCGTCTCAAGTTTAAAGGACACCACAAACGACTGTGGCGCCCAATCGTGACGTAGTACGCCGAGCATCTTTGGCACCTGCTCTAGCTTAAGCTCCAGCGGACCCGCTCGTGACTGAAGTTTGTGAATTACCAAGTCCTGTTGTGGAATGTAATAATCGCTCACGGCAGCTGCTAAGACAAAGAGCGCACGTTCCTTCCACGGCGCTACACACGTCGCCACCATCCGTAACAAGAAAAAATAATCGTGCACAGACGTGAAAGGAAGTGCCAACAGCGTATTGCTTCCACGAATACTATGCATTGTTTTCACTGCTTCTTCCACCTTTTTTTGAGCAGACGAGTCGTTGACTAGTAGCAAAATCTGCTGCTCGGAGACGTCCATGTAATTCATGAAGTCGACATCCAAATGCGAACAAGTGGCTTTTTGTAGATGTCTCGCGAGAGGTGCAACGCTTCCTGGACGATACAGGTATATGACAGCGTAGCCCAAACCCAACAAATACTCGACAGACGCGGCGCCTCTTGATCCCGTTGAAAAATTATCTAAAAAGCGCACTGTGTTGCGCTCGAGCGGGACAATCGTGCCTCCCGAAGTTACGATTGCTATACACCTTCCTATGACGCGGTGATGCTCTAAGAAAATTTTTACATTCTCACGCCACTCGTCGACCCATTCAGGTGCTGATGTTTTCTTAAAGTACTCATCAGTGCAGCGCTTGTCCTCGACCAGCATTATTGTTGTGTTTATGGGCAGAGTGTAATGTGCACGTACACCACAATACAGCATAAGTCCTTGAGAGATAAAAAATGCAAGCACTGGTTTAAATTTGTTACCTATAGCAATCTCAAACGCAATAATTGCAGTCTATTCAAATGCATGAGCCATGGCGGCCAGCAGGATTGCCACCGCCACTCGAGATCGAAACGCTGGTACAGTCAAATCTGAGTACGCGCACGGATCTTGAAGCATGGGTAGAAGCTCAGAAAAGTCATATTTTGGAAGAAAAGCGCGCAGATCAACAGCAGTTACAGGAGCATGCGCGCGCCTCCGATGAAGCCCAACGCAAGCGCGAGATGCTACAGATCGAGCATCAAAAGCTTTTAGCTGGTCAGCCTTTTATAGAAAGACTTTCTGCCGAATTATTCACAGTTCTATACTGAAAATGGCTTCTGTTTTCTCATACGCAGATACACACGCGAAGGAGAGGGAACTAAACACTAGCCAGATGGAGATTGAAGTGTTACAGACCGAGAGACGACGACGCGAACCCGTGGTAAAAGAACTATTCGAAAAGACAGTAGAGGAGGATGTTAAGCTGAAGCGATTGCTGGCAGAATCGCAGACACAGCGCGCGAAGCAGGAGCATCAGCTGCAGGAGTTAAAGCAAGGCCTCGCTATGTATCAGAGGCTCGGATTGTTTTTTGAGCACACAGAGAGTAAGTTATTGAGGGCCTTTTGCGGATGGTTTATTGACTGGTATGTTGATGCTGAAAACAGCCGACCGTATTGTGGTCAAATTTACACAAATTGACGCTCAGGATACGAACCGCGAATTTTCATTTCGTATCACTATTGACTCGATTACCGACAAATATTTAGGTGAGTTTAAGGCTAGCTACTAGGCTTATAAAAATGTTGTCTTACTGATGACTTGCTGTAGTGGATGCCTGCAGCGAGCAAGTGCCTAAACTCAATCATTTAGTGATGGATCTCAATGAGAACGGCGACTTGGCGCTATTTATTCGTTCCATGCGGCGTCAGTTTAAAAAATTGTGTGAATAATCCTTTTTATATACGACGTCGCTTTGAATTGTGCGGCAAATTCTTCATAGCAGTCGCTGTTTGTATTTCGAGCTGAGGTTTTTGTTGAATCGACTTGGATCCCGATGGTAGTTGCGGTCCGATGAACACGACTTGGTCATCAGCAGTATCACTAGGCGGAAGTGGAGGTGGCAGTGGGGGATTCCAAGGTATCGATCTCTTCTTTTCTGCTGGAAGGAATCGCGCACGGCGCTGCAGCAATTGCCGTCGCTGTGCCAATTTGTTGGCGGTATCGTCGCGAGACTCAAAGTGTGGCGCGTAAGTAATCTGCAATTTGTTACCATAGAATGGCTTTTGCACACCGCGTGCTTTAGCATGCCGAGCGTTATTTACAGTCTCGTACTGCACCCAGACCGAGTCTATGAATTCGCTGTCTTCATTGGACAAATCTTCGAATGGTAACGCCGCCTCTCGGTCATCCGCATGATCTAGCAACTGATACTCACATACTTTTCCATACAAGCTGAGTCTCTTAAGTAGATCATCGATCACTCCAAGCGTCGGTACGTTGCGTACCACAACGTAGCGTGACTCATTTGCCACTGTATAGACGCGTACACTACCTGACATCAGATTTTAAACCAATGTAAAGAGAAGTCGCTATAGATGAGCACAAAATAAAGTTACGATGCTCTATTTGACCAAAATTGTAATCATTTGACTGCTTGGCATATAACTTAAATAAGCGCCTTCCATTCGTCGCTCTTAGCTTGCGCATTTTGACAGATGGAGATCGTATTCTACCTCGTCTGTCTGCTTGCCTTGCATCCGTAGCACACTCACCACCACTTCCACACAAAATCAATTTGTCAATTTGCAATCACTTCAGCGCAGTCAGCAGCATTATTGTTGCTTTCGCGAGTGGGTTGTTGACTGCTTTTAGATCCACGTCTATCCTTTTCGTCATTTCCAAGACTGAAATCGTGCATTGACCGTCGAATGGCTTCCAAAAGCATTAATTCCTCCAAATGAGCCGCATCACCAGGAGTTGCCGACAAATGTGACGCTGCGTCGTTTAATGCCGCAACACTATTGGGATGTGGACTATCAGTTACAGGCTTATCGCTGATACTCAATTGCGAACGCAGGGAATCGCGTAGACGGTGACGATCTTCGACTGAGGCATATTGTACACTCTGTGGACTCGTAGTCAACTGCTTGTTTGCTGGCATGGGGATACCAATGGCGCTGCTTCGTCGGGGTGACCTCACGCGCTACACGAGACGAAGCAGTCAGATAATTAAATTGATACCATTGCATCGGCAATTTACCTTAATAGAGCGAATTAAAGCCAATTCTGCTGCAGATGGCAGTGCGTAGCGGACACTAAAGGCTTCTTGGTTGCAAAACGGACAGCTGGAGCAGAGTAGAGATGTTATTATTAAAATTTAGCAGCATGTACGAAATGTCGTCACGCACCAAATATGTTTATCCGGCGGGCGGATCTGAAGATAACACTCAGAGCAAATGGGTTTGCTGCAGCAGCTTGATGCATTGAGACTACCAGGATAAAACTATATCACGAACAAAATGATGAGTTCACTAGCTTCCTCTCACGACGCTCCTGATTTATCTTTCTCACCATGAAGCATATTGGACACTCAAGTGTAAAACACCCATCTTTAGTTTCCTGCCCGGGAAAGCGAGGTGCCAGCTTTTTGTCCACTATGAGCCGTCGTACCGTCTTATGTTCCCACGGACAGGTCGAGTACAAGCTGACAAAGGAAGCTGATAAGTCTCTGATGAATCATCAAAAATCAACAGCAAAAATTATGACATACCCTGTGGGCTGCGTGAACTTATCGAGATCCCTCATGCCGGTCGAGTGACGACGGCCAAGGCCTGACTTCTTCGACGTTGAGTTTCCCATGGCTGATAACTTTTTGTTTTGTGATGGGTTGTCGAGTGAACCTGAGATTATCCATGCAGTAAATATTTTGGAGCAGAATCAGGGCTGAGTTTTGGGGTTAAATTGAAAGATACAATTACTTTTCCTTTCTTTTGTGAATCGTATTACATTAATCAAGATTGAATATATATATGTCTCACATGAACATATGGCCTATCTATAATTCAGCCATCCGAAGACAAGAGCCCAAAATCTTGAAAGCATGTGTGGTTCAGAATACGGTCTAATGTAAAAGGGTAGCATCACGACCAAACTGAATTACAGTACCTGATACTTTCAAAGAAAATAAGAATTCGATGTTATAATTTTGACATCTGCCCATTCGTAGGTGCCAGCTAACGCAGTTTTAGTACTGATTATATTCTCGGACTGTTGAAGTTGGAACGTCTGCAGCTTGAAGAATAGGACTCGAGGAGATCAAAGCGCATCCCCCGTAGTCGTTTGTACACTTTTAATATCTTAACAAGTTCATAATTGAGCAGCTGAAGTTTCAAGACTAAGTGTGAAAGCTAGAATTTATATTCGCATTGAGATCGTCAAGCAATTGTATCTCAGAAGCTAAAACCTTTTTATCATGCATTGCAAAACTACTTTATCGTTGTACCTCATTTGTCGAACGAAGGGCCTTAAGATGTACTGTATTGCCGATCTTTTGTCTGCCTGGAGGAAAAGCTGGCCACCTTGTTTAATTGCCTTACTATAAAATTGAGAGTTTTGTACATGTATATGTAGGCGAGAGGAACTTTGTTGACTTGTTACGCTTTTCTTTACCTTCTAAAAGAATACGTCAACAATTTTTTACAGATGACGGCAATAGAAGTCACTATTCCGATCAAAATTAGTTATCTCATTTGATAATACAATACTTGTGCTGTTGACTGTAGCCATGTCAGCTGGATAAAAGTATTAAAAGTAAATATTAGTGTCCACAAACAGAACATCAGCTTCTTTCTTTGAAAATCCATTGCGGCTCTCACTATTTTACAAGGCATCAACAATTCACTATTTTTTAGTGTTTTGAAGCTGACAAAGCAATATGAATTGCAAGGAAAGATGTAGTCAATCTAACGCAAGAGATGCTGCAAAAGCCAATCAAGCTTGTCCGCTGGTTGGATTCAGTGGCAACTCTAGCTTTAACAATGACGTATCATTGCTGAGAAGAAACGGTGGGTACATGATGATGGAGCTGGAGGTCATGTTCGAAGAAATACACTGTCAATAACATTATTTAAGTTACAGCTCACATTGCTACCATAAGTTCAAATAAAAGACCAAAATTAACTAATTTTTCTTCTTAGTGTTCGTATGGCTAAGTCTGCGGTTACGCCATCTAATTTATGTGTAGTCCGGGTCTGCTCGATTTTGTCGCCAGAAATGTCAGCCTCACAAGATTCACACAAGAATCTGGAGGATAAAATGCAATGGTCTGTATGAATTTAAAATGCTTTGCTATTGAATGGGCTGCTTGACGCACTAGAAGACAATGGTTGCTCCGATGATGATCAAAAATTTGACTTACTACTTTTGACTTAGGTTTTGGAGTAGAACTTATCGTCGATTTATGTATTGGATGTGGATTTTGTGCGTCTATATATCTAAATTGACAAGGTATCAAAATTATAACTTGTTTAAGTTGATACCTTGTTTTTATGTGTTATTACAAATTCGTCGCAAATTTTGCTCGAGATAGCACTCAAGAATCAAAACACGTTGCTCGATTCCTAAAGCAGCTACGAGGCGAAATAGATAAGTGATCGAGTCTCTACTAGATATTCAACTCTGCAATGGTGCGCCATAAAAAGAGATCAAACATGAATGCGAATAACGATCAATTAATGTTTATACATACTTGGCCTATCTCAGTTCGATAATGTATTATTTGTATTATTGTTTAGCAAACACATTTTGTGAGCTGGAATCGTTTTATTGATCTTTTTATCTCGTCCCTTGAATGATCCGACCTGTAAACATGACGGGCAACGGGAGCTTCGTGCGCGCCCCGAGCAGCAGTACTCTTAGCGAGCGCTCTCCACTTTTGCGTGCAATGAGTCAGAGTGAGTTGACACCCTTTGAAGGGTCGTATATGTCCATACCAGCCCCTTTAAGTGACAGCGGACGGCTCTCAAACACAGAGATGTTCCAGCCACTCATCTATGCGGAAAAGGCGTTAGCTGCGCTGTTGAATGGAGTGTTACTGTATGCCTTAGGCTGCGTTCTCGGCGTGGCACTAGTTTCTTTGAACTTCGAGGGTGTACTAGGCGAAGTCAATTGGTGGCTAGTTTTCCTGCCATTCTGGCTGGCTAACATGGCCATATTTTATGCGCACTTGTCATCTATTTGCCACGCCAAGACACTACGACGGTGGGCTGACGTTGAATCAATGAGTAACGAGCCTCTCTTGCCGCTACTTCGTCGTATTGTCCTAGTCTATGCCATCAGTTTTCCGTTGACAATACTGCTATTGTGGAGCGAGTTGGCATTTTGCGCAAGTTTACAGCATGCGGCGGCCACAAGCCTTTATGTTTGTTATGCTCCACTCATGGTCATTCAGGTGGCGTTCGTAGTCCGGTATTTACTCTGCAGATCGGATAGCACGTTACCGGTGCGTACACATCCATACATTTCTCCCAGTCAGAATATTAAATATTGTTACCCTGGATGTAGGGAATTTGCTGGGTGCTGATGTTCGTATTTACGCTCCTGCTAGCGTACCAGACCGACACACAACGTAAGCTTGAGTCCCCAAATACTACGCAATCGCCTATGTCTTGGTGGATTGTATTCGCACCACTTTTCGTATTTGAATTGCTCATGACGGCATCGCTACTGCTCGTACTGTACAATGAATTTTCGGGAATCTATCGCTTAACTCGATGGCAATTAGCAGCTAGCGTGTTGTACTCAATGGCTCTGGTATCAGGGCTGAGTGGTGAGCTCATGTTGCTGGAGCAAGTAAACTATCACTGGGGAACATTTACATTTCCTTCTGGTCTCATGTTCTTTGGGCTCGTGTGTGCTTGTGTGGCCATGTACATTGTGGGCCGCCACCATGTGGAAGAGCTGATGGCATCAAAGGGCGGTGCAGTACCTGTTCCTTTGACGAGGACAGCTGATGGATGGATTACGAGTCACGCTGTAGTCGAGCAGTGGGTACTCTTTGGGCATATTTACCTAACTGCGCATGGATTACAGTTACGGAATAGAAAACCAAGAAGCAACTCAGAAGTCGAGGCGGAGGCAGCTGGCAGTCGAATTGTTCGGCAAATGAAGGGATTTTTGACTCGAGCCACTTCGGAAGAAAACATTGGCGAAGACGACCCGGAACGACGTTTTTGCAATGTCTTGCGGCGGAAAATGTCTGGGAGCTACAGCGACGTGGTTTTAGAGGTTGTAGATACCCCCAAGACCCCAAACGATGCTCAAATTAACAAGTCTGTAGTCACATGAAATTTCACTTGTCAGCGAAACATAATTTATCTCAGGGGTTGACGGACAGCACGGACACTGAGGAGAATTACGACCAGACGAAAAATCTACATACTCGATGAATATCCAATGTTCAAACCACTTAGCCCCATATCACAAGCAAAAAGCATGAAAGAACTGAAAATACAGCGAGTTTGTATAGAAGAGTGTTTGCTGAACGTCAACTTGACCTCTCATATTGGGCCAACTTGCTATGATCAGTATTGAGAAAAGATCGCTACCATAAGTTTAAATAAAAGTAAAATACCATAATTGATTGATGTGTCTTCTTAGTATTTGTATGGCGTTAAAAAATATACATATGCAGTTGTAGCAGGGTCCGCTCGAGTGATGAGTTGTCATCAAAAGTGTTGGCTTCACTTTCAAATTAGAGGCACTGCAACAAGTGGTTATCGGGTCAAGCTTTAAAAGAGGAAAAAATCAAAACAGAGTTTTGTCTCCATTCTGCAGTTGTAGACAGAACATCTGAATTGGATGTTGCGGTTTGCTTGTCATATCTATATATATATGACTACCTAAAGCTTGTAAGTTTGATATCTATAATTTTGGTATAAGATGAAAGCTTTACAAGATTTTCTGCTGTACAACACGAAAACATGATTCAATGTGTGTGTCTCATACAGCTTGGAGCATTTGGCATTTCTTGACTGTGCTCAGAATCCCGAATTCTTCCAATAAACTATTTCTAGCTCAGAAATCCTCAACACACGAAAATTGATTACGATACGACATTGAAAATGATAGATACCATTCATTTCAAATTGTTGGATAAAAGGGAGATAAATCGAGCTTGTCTTTCTGAGTATGACTTATAAATCGAGCTTATCTTTCTGAGTACGTTGACTTATAGTGAGTCGCGACGTCAAGTTAATTAACAAGTGCACATTGATATGACAAAGAAATTCACAGATATCCGTATTCAAATAAAATAGTATTCAATTACACTTAAAAAGGGTCTTACATTTAATATCAATAATTTAAGCAATAAATGCTAGCAATAAACTGGAATTTATTAGCTCGACGATGTATATATTAAACCTTCTATCGCCACAATCACTCGTTCGACACCATGAGTGTAATGTTTGGCAAGCGTCGTCGAAAGGCTCTCGTAACAGACTCTCAGCCTCAACTTTCCTCTCCAAAAGACATTAATGCTAACGTTGGAAATGAAATAATTTCTAAAAGTGACAGAGTGTTGGTAGATGACACATCCAATGCGCTCATTTCGTTCTTAAACCTTGGCGTGGACCCTTGGCTGGTCAAACGCTGCGAGTTGTTGGGTATTCGTCATCCCACTCCCGTTCAGGCTCATTGTATCCCTCCCATTCTTTCAGGGCGAGATGTCATTGGATGTGCACAAACTGGAAGTGGCAAGACAGCAGCCTTTGCCCTGCCCATCTTGCACACACTAAGTCAGGATCCCTACGGCCCATACGCTCTTGTACTGACGCCCACGAGAGAGCTTGCTTTTCAAATTGCTGATCAATTTAACGCTTTTGGAAGCTCCATGGCTGTACGCTGTGCCGTGATTGTCGGCGGCGTAGACATGCTGAAGCAGTCATTGACCTTGCAGCAGTGTCCACATATTATTGTAGCTACTCCGGGTCGATTTCATGACCATTTGCTTCGTGTGAAGCCGCCAAATCTCTCTTTAGTCAAGTATGTGGTACTAGACGAGGCTGATCGATTGCTGGACATTTCTTTTGCCAAAGATTTAAGTTTTATCTTTGACAAGCTGCCGCCGAAGCGTCAAACGCTACTTTTCTCCGCGACGATGACAGCAAATTTAGACCGACTAGAACAAACAGCGCTTTCGAACGACGCATTTCGTTTTGATGCGACACCGAGCGTCAAGACAGTTGCGACTTTAAAGCAGTTTTATTTATTCATTCCAGCTCAGGTCAAAATGACATACCTCATGTATTTAATGATAATGCTTGATCCGACCGAAGAGGACGTAAACGAGGAGCAGAACAACCGCAAACAAACTAAAAGCCACAATGGGAAGGAAAAACGAAATCTAAAAAAAATGCTTGATGTTTCTCTATCATCTAAACGTCAAGTGCGGTCGATGATGATCTTTGTATCAACGTGCAAGATGTGTGAGCTCATAGGCGAAATTGGTCACGAGCTTGGCACTCAATGCGTGACGCTGCACTCGATGATGTCGCAAAATCGGCGTCTAGCAGCATTAGGTAAGTTCAAAAGCGGACTTAGTCACATTCTTATCAGCACAGACGTCGCGAGTCGTGGTCTTGATATCCCGGAAGTGGATGTCGTTCTTAATTTTGACCTGCCTCGTGATGCTGACGATTATATACATCGTGTAGGTCGTACAGCTCGTGCAGGTCGAAAAGGTCAAGCCATTTCATTAGTTACACAACACGACATTGAACTTTTACAGAACATCGAAGACATAGTGGGCAAGAAAATGGATGACTATGAGTCTGAGGCACCTGAAAAAGAGGTGCTTAAACTGCTAAATGATGTCACCACTGCGTCGCGTATTGCAAAAATGAAACTTACTGAGCGCGGATTTGACGACAAGGTAATTGCTCGTAAAGTTAAACGTCAGGAGCAGCAAAGAAATCGAAACAAAAAAGTTAAAAAGGAGTAGGCAGAAAAACGTATTTTGCTTGTACTCGAGTCTCCTTTGTTTTGAAATTGATTACTTTAGCAGACATTATGACAAACATATAGGTATCTCCTCTTTCCAGATCATTTCTATCTACAATTCCAACGGCAGAACATATTGTGTTACACGCCATTAACAAACTAAATTCTAAGCTGATCTGTCGGATTAATATCTGTCCATCCAGTGATTTCTGTGTCAGCAAGACGAAAGTCGCCATCCATTTCGACACAGTTGTGCACTGCGTACAAGAAACGTTCGCGACAAACTTCATCACTAGAATAGCGTGGAAGCTGAAGAGCAAAGAAGCACGTGTGAGACTTTGGCATCTGAGAGTCCATCCATTGTTCACTTGTTCCAGCCGTACTTGATGCACTATTTCCATCACTCCCAGATGAAGCAAGTGCTTGAATCTTAAACTTTTGCTGAAATTGCTCTGAACCCGAAGGCAACCGTGAACGAGCCCAAACAAATCGCAAAAATGCTCGTTTGTCTTCCAATTCAAAGCTTTCCAACACACGCCAGAATCGCTGGATAAATTCATCATTAACGGACAATTCTTCGTCATATTCGGTATTATCTTTCAGTAATTTGACGTCAATTTCCGAAACACCACACATCCGTTTTTCAAACTCGGTCCAAGTCAAAAGTGACAATGCAGAGACTGGCATGATCGAATGCAATCCCTGTTTGATTATATTAATTACGTCTCTACTTTCTTGGAGACGCGCTTGAAGCATCAAGTTGATGTAATCTTTTAAATTACTCATTGTCACACTCGTGTTGATACCGTCTTCACAAAGTTCAACTGTTTGTCCATCGGAAAGTACAGTCGTAAATACCAAATCCATAGCTTGAAGCTGCTCCATGTGCTTGGCCATGTTTTGACCTTTGGAGTCGTCTAAAATACCTTGTAGCGTCTTCCACAACGAGTAAGCAACATAGTCAATTTCTTTTAGTGTTTCCAGTGCACTCTCGAGGCTCAAATCGTCTTCAGCTACGAGTTGTTTCCAAACTGACATTGCGAAATCAAGACGAACACAAACACGAGTACGAAGACAAATCCCAATCATTTGACCGAGAAAGTGAAACATTTCACAATATAGTTCGCGCTTCTCTTTCGAACTACCGCCTTCTTCAGCGATATCCTTGAGCAGTGCGCTATTCAAAACGAATTTTTCACGATTTGCTCCGACACTGTTTCGCCAGTTTGGACTTGGTAAGAAAAAAGGCAAAAGACACGCTGATACAGAGCCACCAGCGTCAAATTTTGCTGACGAACCACTTGGTTCTTCACCATGAGTATCATTTGTCGTCAGCTTTGTATTGTTGCCACTTTCTAGACCATAGAGCATCTGTAGTTCTGCAAAAAATTGGGAGAAAAACTCACGATACGGACCTCCATAATCATCTACACCTTCACCTTCGAACCTTACTTTAAAAGTTCGAAATTGACCATCGTCCATCGGGTGCGAATAAACCATCCGAAGTGTTTGCACAGGCAAGAAATGAAGTTCTTCAAATGATTGACCAAAGAGCGACGAAAATAAACTGCTTTCATCTCTTTGGTGGCACTTTGCTGCTGCTGCTTTCATTCGATTTACATGAAGCTGTGGTAAGTCATCTGGATAATCATACTCGTCGTCGGATCGTTTTAAAGAAAGAGCTGTTCGATCCATTAGAGAAGACCAGAAAGTATTCTTCACACTTACGAAAATGCTTCCACGGCACTGTGAGATGAGTTGACATGGTAGCGAGTTTGAATCTGGGAGGAAATAGTGCCACGTCAGGTCGAAAAAGGGTAAAGCTCGACTAATATAAACGTTTGCATATCGCAAAATGGCAAAACGCGCGATAATCATCTTTTCACATATCTCGCGGGGCATGGCAAGCACAGCAGCAACAGAAGTTAGCTCCAAGACAGCAGTCTTTCCACAAACAACATTTAGAAGTTGAAATGGTGTTAAATTCCACGGATTGATACGTGACGTTTCACAGAAATCATTAACCACAGCTATCAACTCACGATCCACTGCAACGGTCCACAAAGAATGTTCACCAAATTCTGTGAGTTCTTGTTGTGTGATTATCAAATGACGCATTGGAGTTTCCAAAGTGGAATCGTCAACGTCAAGTTTACATTCTTTTTCGTCTCTTTTCAAGTATGGATCACTTTCAAGTGCTGGATTGGAGATATCCGAGTTTACAAGTTCTATAGAATCTAGCAAAGTTGTCTTTGCAGACGTCAGCTTATGTAATTTCGACGGATGAAAGAACCACGATCCAGATTCAGTGTCCACATCAACCCAAAGTCTGTCATTTGCAACCCCCAAAACTATCGCGTTTCCACGAGGTGTACGCACACGATCTCCCGAGTAAAAACCAAGTTTCTCACATGATTCTCTCGTAACATCAACCCATAGTGATTTACCGGATCGCGTTGTCACAAACTTCTTGGTACCTCGAAGCCAATCTGTAGTCATAGCAAATGCAGCAGCAGCTAATGTAGAACACATCGAAGTTTTCTTTACCCAATTTGACATTAGCTCACAAGCTGTTAAGCAGTCATGAATACTTCCGTGCTCTTCCTCACCAGTCGAAGAAATCCAAGCTTCATTACCACCACTACTGACACAGCTATTCTTGATAAAAGAGACCTTTTGATGTCTAGAGAAAAATGCAACAGCAGGACAAATTTCTCCGACAACATTTTCAAAAGCCAAGCCCAAATCCTCGCCATTCTTGCTAAAAGATAGTTCGCCTTTTTCACAATCTAAACGAACGCCTATGCAATCGCCTTCTTTAAATGATTCTCCATATGCTCGTAATCGGTTGCGCTGATAGTAGAGTGCTTTGTCTCCTATAAATCCCCATGATTGATCGTCTGCTCCAAGATACGAATCCATGTTCGATTGCCGAGCTGCTACTCCTACGAAGAGATAAGGTGAATTTGACTTGTCAATGGAAACCAACCACGAGTGGATTCCAGTCGAAAATCCAATGGTGGAACAAGCCGTATTCCAGACTTCGTTACCATGATATATAGCACTTTGATCATCTTCAGCAATAGTCAACAAGCTACTGCAGCTTCGTTTGCGATTAAATTGCAGCGAAATTCCGTCACTTTGCGGGGTACTTAGGGATTGGAATGATACCAGCGACTGGGCTTTTGTATCTAAAACATCTTTAGCACTTGTCGCGTGGAAGTCATTCATAAAGCCTTTCAACACACAAAGAAGTTCGATATAGCTTTGGAGATACTGTGAAAAAACCAACCGACCTTGACCTAACTCCCGGTTGTGCCGCAAATTGGCAGCAGCTATGAAATCTTTGACCACCAGTTGCGAGTCTTGCACAATATCGTGTTTACCAGTGTCCATAATCCTTATTAAACGACTGATTGTCCGGAGCACAATGAATTTTGTTGGCAAATTGGTCGTGCCGAGGCAACAGCGTAATTGGTGCATGACACCTTTGAGAAAGTCTAAAGGAAGGGATATCACTATAAAGTTTGGACTAGCCAAAAGCAAATCGAGAAGCCAAACAACAAGTTCAATGGCTGGTTCCTGTCCTACTTTCTGGTCAGAGCGAATTAAACTTCGTTGTGTCCACAAAGTTGCCTCATAAACTTTTTCCATCGCTGCAGCTTCAAGTTGCTCCAGACAAAATTTAAAAGCAGCCGCAGCAGTTGTCGCCAAATCCTGATCTACAAAGTATTGAAACGCCTTTGAAAACACTTGATCAATCGATAGTTCTAGCGGATACCTTGTTCGTTTTGAATCAATCGTAAATTGATCCCCACGTAGTAGAACGAGTTTCAAAAGCTTTAACCACTGTTCACATGAAATCCAAGTTTGCATTGATGATATTCCTCTTTGTGATGTTATTAAATTATGTAGAAAAGTCACGATACACCGTCGAGCATACATAAGGGACAAAGTATTTTCCAAAGTCCAAAGTTTCATTCCAAGATGCTTTAGATCCAAATGCCTGATTTCTGTATCAAAATTCTCTTCAAACGAAGCACTTGAAGCTTCAGCACGATTTGAAATATGTGGAGAGGAATTCACCATTAGCGTCTCTTTCAGTTCAATCGATCCAGCTCTCCACGAGCGCATGAAACGTGATTTGGCATTAAACAAAAATCCTCCTTCTTCGAACGGAAAATACATTTCGCCAAATACTTTTCGTCCCATCTCCTTATCGTTTAATATGGGAACATTGAAACTTTGTTGTAAGCTTAATGCCTGTGAAGTAAACTTCGAGCCACTTTCGATGTCGTCATTTTTTGTTGCAGACTGTATCGAAGTTTCAAGAGATTGGAGCTGAGGCTGACCACTCAAGCGATCATCATAAGGCACGACATCGTCTTCTTCCTCATCACACCGAAACTTTCCTTGATTTCGATTCTTTTCTTTATCCAATGTTGACTGCAATTTACTCAAATACTCGAGATTGTCAACAATCCAAGCTGATGCATTTACAATATCATTTTCAGTTTGTTTCAGGGCAAGTATACACCAGTCTTCAGGAAATCCCATTAGCATTAATTCTTCCACGAGCTCAAATTGGCTTTCATCCTCATCTTCTTCATCATTCTCCCCGTCAGTTCCATCAAAGATTTCGTCTTCATCCTCGTCTTCATATTCCTCTTCGTTAGCGTCTAATTGATCCCAAGTCTCGTCAGCTCGCCTATTCTCTTCCCTATCGACTTCTTCGCTATTGTACAACTTTAGACAAAAGCTTGGACTTTCTCGATATCTTGACGTCTCAATTACTTGCTCTTCTTCCCAGACATTTCGACCCAAAGTCGTACGTTCACTTAGTCCCACTTCACTACTGTCATTCTCGCAATTAGCCGTACTTGCCAGTTCTGCCTCCCCTTCCTCCTCTAGCTCAATCAATGCAGTGTAGACTTCATGACGTAAGGCATTCACGCACATTTCAGTTTGATAAAGAGTTAAATGCTCGATGTTTTTGTCTTCACGAACAGCTAACTCAGTGATAAACTCCAGTAGTGCTGGTTCTGCAAGAAGGTGGTCGACTCCTGCTTCAGTGGCAGCCACTTGTACTAAAGCTTTCAGCAGCATTGCACCATTACGTACAGAATTGAAAGAATCTTTTGACCCGTTGCCTTGTGACTGGACGTTACCTTTTGTATTATAAACGACAGGGATGACCTTAGCTGCCTTCTCCACTAATGTTTGTAAGACTCTGCCACCTTTAGGATGTGACGCAACATCGTAGATAACAGTTGAATACGTTTGATGGGCACCAGTCACTTGAGTCGGATTAAGCTCGTCAATGTTCACTTTCGATAGCTGTACATTGCAGCTTGGACTAAAGACTTTGTCGTACCAGCTCAAATTACTCCAGGTTTTATGTGCTGGTCCGTGATCCTTTTGAACGTATGCTAATGAATGTGGTAAATTATTGGTATCGGGTAGAGATACGAGCGATACCACGTGGGCGCGATCCCTCGATCCTCGTAGCTCCACTGTAAGACCTGGTCGTAGAAACTCTGCACCTCCATTTAAATAATAAGAGCATCCCACCGATTCTACGTATTTGAGTGTAGAAAAATGAAGATTGTGCTTTCCAAATTGTAGAAAGCGATCTTCAGAAGGTATCAATTTCGTTTGAAAGCTTAAGCAATGTTGAGTACTGTGAGATATTGTACGGATTATGCCTTGACTCCACGACGCATTCGAGCATTTAAATAGTTTCTGTAGAAGATAATTGAGCTCGTTAGCTAACACTGAACTTTGGCGCCTGGATGATTGATATTGATCCTCAATGTTACTTTGCAGCTCTGTTTTTTGATGCAAGTTATCGTGAATATCAAGAGAAAATTGATTGATATGGATGTTTCGAGCTATCATTAATGACGACGGCACTACTGTTGTATTACTATCAAATTCACCTGCGATCCTGTACGGACACTTATATAAGCAAAATCCAATCATTCGAATGATTTGTTGCACGAAAAGATTGTCATAGGTATAAAAACCAAAGTTGTCTAGCGTCATTGGATCGTCATGTACAAGCACGTTAGAGGCTTTCATTGGATCTCCTAGGGGTAGCAAAGCGCCAAGCACACGTAAGGAAGACTGCTGTATACATACCAAATTACTTTCTAGAAAGGTTCTCCAAATCAACTGAACCCATTTTGAAAACTGAGAAGAAAAGTGAACAAGTCCCTCAGACGAAGAGCTGAGCAGCATGATCAGCGCATGAAGCTCCATGATTCTTAAATGCTGAGTACCATCTGAAGAGACAATAGTGGCGAGTTTTTTTTCATCGAATACAACTCGTACGTGAATTGGAGATAACGAGCGATTGTGAAAGCGGAAGTGGCTTAACCAACCATCAAAGCAGCGAAGCATTTTCGTTTTATGTTCTATTGCATTGTTTGACAATGTTGTTGTCAATTCCCAGCCGGCAGCATTACTGATCCCAAGAGAACAAGGCAAAAACTGAATTGCTGACGAAACTGAATGAGCCAATCGATCCATGGAGAAAACTGAAGGGAATCGACCGAAATGAAGGGGGAGATTAACACTTCCAGTGGCCCAAATAAGAGAATTTTGGGCAGCCAGAGAGCATTGGCAGTCGAGAATACCATTTAAGTAAAGATGTATTTTGGTGGTTTCTAGTACTATAGCCACGTGACTCCAAGTACCCGAAGCAACAACTTGTTTCGACACCACTCGCTCCAACATCCGACATTTACCAGCAAAACTCCCGACCTCACTGTCTTGATTAATATGCATGGTAATTCCCACCTCTATTCGCCAATTGTCAACACTTTCAGGCACGAGTACTAGATATAGCGCTATCTCACGCCCAGCCCCACGCAAAAATACCAATTGATGATCGTGGAAATCGTCCGGCAATTCATGACAGTTGGTTCTTCGGTTCAATTCAGTGTTAATATAGAGCCAGGTTGTCACACTAAATTCGCTAGATTTAAGCAAAGGGGACATCGGTGGATTCAAATCCGATCTGGAAGAAGAAATCATATCATCGTAGCTAACGATGATACCCTTGTTTTTACAAGAAAAGCGTCGTGGTTGTGAAATGACCTCGAAACTTCTTCGAGCTGCCACAGGTACAGAAGAAGTCAATTCTATCTGCTTAATTCGATAGAAGTCTAAGAAGTGATTGGATATTGAGACTGCTTCATCAAGTAAGAGCTGTACAACAGAAGAACAGACCGGTAAGGTAGGTACGTCAATATCTTGACTGTTGAGTGATGTTTTGGTTTGCACTGCAAAGTGTATACAAATGTTTCGAAACACGATCCACAATGTATTTCTCAGACGAGCGAGCTGATTCTGGGAGAAATAATTCGATCGCGATGTTTGTTGCACTCTTTTATTCACAAAACCTTCACCTGACGATAACATTTCACTGCAGCTATTACCTTCATCTCGATTTGTGAGATTCTGCATAAGCTCTTGAATAACGTTTAAAACTCCAATATCACTCACTGACTCAAATTGTTTTCTGTCAAAATGAATACCCCATGCACTTAAAAACAGAGTCAAAGTTAAAATAGTAGATTTCGTACTACTGTCTTTAGAATTCACAAGCCTAGCAGCCTTGTCAGTCATAATTTCGGTCAGTTTTCCAAATAAGTTCGCAAATGTTTCGTTCTGAAGACTTAAGTAAAAGTATCCAACGGCATAAGATCGTGTCAAGATAGACAAAGTCGACGATTGCAAAACAAAAACTTGTGATATTTGATGTACAATGTCTGCTTGAATTGAATCATACGAAACCATCGTGATTAGATCTTGCAGATTTTCAAGTCCTCGAGTAGAGCAGCTCACACGACGACATGGATCAATTAGCAATTTACTAATAGCGTTGAGAGACGACACAGGCTCATCAGATAATATGAAAGCTAAAATTTCCTGTGAGACTTGACGTAAGGAAACTCGACATGTAAACTTCCATCGAAGTATAGAGTGAAATGCCGTTCGAAGTATTCTCCATTTTGACAAAGGAAATGCAATCAAAAACGGTAGGTTTTCGTCTGTATAAGTAGTATAAAGGTGCCGCTTAGCGGATGATGCAGTAAATTTGCATGTTGAGTCAACAAATACGAGGAATGCAGGGTCATATGGTGCGATATAGCCAGCATCTAATTGGACATTACAATGCTCTTGCTCTTCGTATACGTCCAAAAGCAGCAAAAGCTTGCACCGATCCAAAATTGTTTGTTGTAAAGCAACAATGCGATCAAACGATCTTTCTTGAGAAGTGTCGGAATCTAAATGGAAATTGTTTTTGATTTTAGTCTTTTGAGCAGCCAAATTTCGCCGTAATTGAGCAACAGTTTGCCATAGAAAGATAAAAGTTCTTGGAGGCGCTGACCGTCTTTCCTCCGCAGATTGTTGCAGCATTAGTGCAAAGTGATACGCGTGAACTCCAACCAGGCTATGATGAATAAGTGCTGCAAAACAAGCAGCTTCAATCCGAAGATCATTTTTCTGAATTTCCACAGATTGCAATATTGCATTGGAATTTATTGCGAGCTGAGACTGCCGTACGAGCATTCGGTATGACGGGTCTTTCTTACAATAGTTGTCTCGGATCCAAGTACACAGTGTCGTTGCTGCTGCGATGGCTTCATTTTGAGTCTCAAAATCACGTTGGTAGTGGAATGACATGAGAAAAGTTTCAATAGAAAGAGAACCAAAAATTTCTCTATAGTTCTGATTAGTTGGTACTTGCCACAGAGGCAAAACTCGTTCGTCGTCGAGAGTCGGAGGAAGAATTAACGAGAACGGCGAGCTTTCGGGTGTTGGAAACGGCGTATGCTGAACGATACGACTATTAAAGCTTCTACGATTAATGCTTTGAGCCACAATATTCGGCTTTAGTCCTCCTTGAAGTAATGAGCTGTTTGTCCAGCGATTTGAGACTTGTTGAGTGCTGGATTTGTCATGATCACTCGTAACATTCGAGTATGTGAAAATTGGGTTACCAACCACAAGTGTCATTGCCATTTCAGTAGTTAGAATTGCCACCTCTTTTTCCAGCCGGAAGTTCCACGGAAGTGCCATCACATTCGACGATGTCATTCCTGTTGAGCTAATACTTTTGATATCTTGAGAGGGATTAAACGTGCATTCACTTTCGCGTCGAGTAGTTTCCAGTACGATTGCTTCTTCCTCAGATGATTTAAAGCTTGCACACGATGCCATCATTTCGACATATTGCGTCTCTGCACTCTCTGCAGCAGGATCAAGCTGGTTGAACGCATCAATAAATTTTAGTAAAGTCTTCAATGTAGGCAGCAAAGCTGTAGCAAACAAAGTATTATTACTGAAACCAAGTAAATGAACCACCAGCAACGGCAAAAGCTGGCCAACAACCGAGAGCTCGACTGTCTCGAAAATTTTCAATCTTTTTTCACTATCGAGTTCGGCACTGTAGGTGTATCCTCGAGTCGGACTGGGAAGTGATTTCATTGATAAAATTTGACGTAGCACTTCGCTGCACTGTTGTAACGCCATCAATGTAAACTCGAGAAAGCAGCGCCACTGCGCTGGAACATGGCATAAGTCATTTTTATCGACGCGAAAAGTCCGATCAATTAGATAAGCAACTTTTGATTCGATGTAAGCGCTTGACTGCTCAGAAACACTGTCTTCTATAATCCAATCTTGAACGCTCGCAGCCCAACTAGCAAGATGCTTTTGCATCCCTTGAAGCATGCGAAAAAATGCTTGCGCAGATTTGGGTCTTGGCGAAATCTTTGACGAGGATTGAAGTCCGACCACATTTCCTAGACGTTGAGAAAACTCAGTCGCAATACGATTAAAAACCGTCTGGTACATTTCATGCATCAACGATGTTTGAGATGGTTCTAACTGTGATTGTAGGGGCAAACATCGGACGATAAGGGCATCTTCAGTCATTCGATTCAAAAGGGGTTCAAGCAATAACTTCCTTGATTTTGGAAACATTTCAATTTGCCACAGATCACTTCGACACTGCAATCCACATAAATATTTTGACCCATCTCGATTCATGTTTTCTTGCATTACGTGAAAGAAAAATTGACGCCTTAGACATTTACACGGAAAGAAAATCTCATATCCTTCCATTAATGTAGCGATCGCTTCCTCTGCAATTCGTAGGGTATTCCCTTCTTCATCTGCTATTCCATCGAGGGCATAGCAAACATTTCTTCGGCGTCTGATGTCGACAAGCGAGAATAAAACGTCTCGGATTTGTAGAATTGCTAAACGTGTTTGGTCAAGCTCGTTCACCCAGCCCTTGACATCGATTGTGGGCTCTTTTGGTGATGACATTTCGGTAGATAATAACATCGTTGTCTTTGCTAAACTTGACCGCAGAAGCTGCGATAAATTAGCTTGCAATATTCGGATCAATGCAGCAAGCATATACGCTTGAAGGTGTGAGGTTGAGATCGGCTTTATGGCCAACGCAAATCGAGAAGATTTTCCAATCTTTCGAGTGCTAATGTGCTTGAGCAGGATGGCAAGACTTTCAAACGTTGAGCTGCATGTATGAATTCCAAAGACCTCAAAACTTTCTTCAAACACATAGCTTGTGTCAAATGATGGTCCTTTAGCTTTGATAAGCTTTTCGATGACACTTAGTGAAGGATGTTGTAACATAGGATAGCTCCCTGGTTTTGGAAGAAATGGTTGACATAGACGGTCAAGCTGCGCAAGAATGACAAGACCGACAAGTAGAGCATCATCTGAGAACAACTCAATCAAAGTTTCTGCATCAGATTGTCCAGGTGATTGATGGTCTTCATCTCGAGTATCATTATCAAAAGCTTCTCCCTTTTCCACATCTAGGGTACCTACGGACTTATTTTCCGATTTCTTAGATGGATCTAGCCAATTCTCAATGGTCGGACTCGAAAGAATCGTCAAATGATCGATTCCCTTGCAACCAAGCGTACTAGATGTATCACCCGTGATATTTCTTACCAATTCTTGTTCCATTTTCTCGTCTTCAATTCCACCTGTGAGTAAAACCGTATGATAAAACCCAGCAGCTACCTGAGCGACTCGTTTGCCAGCAAAATCATCAATCGGAAATGGATACATTCGCTCAGTTGTGTCCCCTGTTCCTAATTGTCCGTGATTATTTCGTCCAAAAACATATAAGACGCCATTGTCTGATACAGCAATGGTATGGTAACATCCACAAGCAAATCGAATAATTTCTTTGCCTTCCAATTCTTCAATTAAATTAGCATACGAGAAGCGTTGTTGCTGGAGCTGAAGAATAGCAGATGCCCTTGCATTAGGACGTCCAAGACCAAGTTGTCCGTAATCATTTCGTCCAAAGGCATATAAATGCGCTCCAGTACACCGAACAATCGTATGATAGTAACCACATCGAACTTCAAGACACTCTTGATTTTCAAGTCCAGCTTTTACTTGCACTGGAACTACTTGATTCTCGAAAGAATCAACACCTAACTGGCCATAGTCATTCTTGCCAAATGCAAATAATTTACCTCCTGCAGTCACGACCATCGTGTGATATTGTCCACAAGCAACTGAGACGATTTGCTCGTCATTCAATGCCTCGATTCGCTGAGGGATCTTACGATCAATCGTGTCATTATGTCCCAACTGACCGTAATCGTTCCGCCCAAAAGTAAAAACAAAAGGTTGCCCGTTGTCTCCTCCTTCACAGGTCAAAATTGTGTGGTAATAACTGCACGACACCAACCGAACAATCTTATTATCCAAACTTTGAATCACTTTTGGAACACTTTCACTTGCAGTATTTCCATGACCGAGCTGGCCACGATAATTGTATCCACAAGTCACGACCTGACCGTCCAAGGTGACAAAAATCGTATGTTCACATCCGTTATACGCGTGAGCTTGCGTGATGTTGATTGCACCTAGTTCATGGATTTCGCTCCAAACAGCCACTCTGGACGTCACACCCTGACCACACTGACCATTGTCGTTATATCCGCAAGTGAAGACTCGACCATCTACTGTTAGTGCTATAGTGTGCTCATTTCCAGCCCCAATCTGAATAATTTCTTTGTGTTGAAGTGACTGAATCCGTTGAAATGACTTACGCGATGTTGTATCTCCATGTCCAAGTTCTCCATATGAATTTTGTCCACAACTCCAAACCTCCCGATCTCTTTCGTCTTCTTCAAGTGTGTTCGGACCAGTAATAACGTTGCAAAAGTTATAGCTCTGTGAATTTCCGTGTGAAGCTTGCTTAGGACAACAAGGCTTTACACCATCCAATCCAATTAATACGGATCGGACATTGAGATTTTTAATTTTTGGGCATCTCGCAATACCAATCGGTGTACACATGGGTGAATCTCGCACTAGCGTCTCCTTCATCGCGGGAACATCAACCGAAGGACTAAAGTTTCCCAATTTCATTGCATCTTTCAGCTCGATTTTCGTTGGAAAGCATTTGCTGACAAAATTTTTGCCACGACTAGTATACAATGGGCGATGGTGCGAAACGCCCGAAGGAAGTGTAGCAATATTTTCTTTGGAAACGCTAATGTTGGGCGCTTCTACCTTGATCCCTTTCAATAAACCTTTTTTTCTGCTAGCGTCTAACAGTGTATCGTCTTTGATCTCTCGCGCACTTAGTAAATGTCCGTTCGCCACTTTACATGAATTTGGTCGTGATCTCTTAGACTTTGTCAAGTGATTGTCAATATCTGGTGAAAGCACTTCACTAGTATACATAGATGGAAGTGATGGGTTTGATGCAGTGTATAATGCGCGTGACGAAAGCGTGATATGAGACTCACTTCTTCCAGCATCCAGTACGGAGTTAGTCGCACCGAGAAGAACTTTAAGTACCACCAAAAAGTCGCGTACGGAGCCTGTCGCTGCGGCGAGGTGAATTAATCCATCTATAGCATTAGTGCGATCAAGAACCTCCGACTCACTAGTCTTGGAGATCGCTCGTAGTCGTGGAGACGTTAGTGAAAGAGTGTTTGGCCGTGGACACATGAGGATTAGAAATTTCTGAACTTTTTCAATAAATTCTGCAATTGTCGCGGCATTGGATGTAGATGACGACCGTGGCAAATTAAAATTATAACTAGACGAGTTACCTCGTCTAGTACAGAGAGCCAGGGGGGCGATTTCGTGTAACATTAGCAGCAAATTCGCAAGAAACTCACGTTTCTGAGTTCCTGTAGTCACTGTAGAATCATTATATCCATCTAGTATACACAACATCATCTGAAGACCTATGATGGCTTCTCGAAACACTTTTGCTTTGTGTTTAATTGTCCCGATCATTCCCGTAGAATCTGTCGAACCGATCTGAATCTCATCTGCCGACGGATGCAAACTCATTTCCATACATCGAACAAGATGAACGTTCTTTTCCATCGTTGCTTTCCACTGTCGATGTTGGAATGCAGTTGCCTCGTGCATGCTCTTGATTAGTTGCCGCCGTAAGAAAATCAGTCGATATATTGGATTAGGAAACGTACACAGCCGGCTAAGGGCCTCTTTTAGTTTCGTAGTCATCAGCGTTGCCAATTCTGGTTGCTGCAAATTTCCAAGCACACATTGAGCGATCAAAAGCTCACGTTTTTTTCCACCATGAAAAGTATTGAACAAGTCCGTCGTCTCCACTTTCGCTTCGACCTCATCGTCATCTGATGCATCTCGACTTGCTTTTAACTGAGCTGCCATTAGGCGTTGACGAATACTCTTGTCTAACGACATCTCTTTTGTTTCCAATAATGCTAATCGACCTGACCGACGGGCCTCTTGAGTACAATCCAGACGTCTTAACTGCTTGGCCAAGAATTCCTCATCTATCAATTGAGCGTAAGTCAGTCGACCCCACCGCATGTCTGATCGCGACAGAGTTTGTAAATGATTTAATGCGATACCAGGAGGCTCGTAGCCGGTGCCGCACGCATCACTCCACTGCATGGCATATATCCTGTGATCACAAAAGGGATATCAGACCGACGTTTGTATAGACTAAAAGCCAAGTCGGTGTTACTTCACGACCGTTCGTTCGTTGATATCCACAACTTTTTTAGAACAGTTCGAATTTAGGTCACGAATCTATTCAACTAACCACCTAATATCACACCAGTATCTCGAAAATGGGACTCGTTCCTTGTCACTTGACTTTTTGAAAAGCAAACTCGACAGATTATCATGGCAATTCGTAAGACTTTGATCTATATACTAAGCCTGATTGTGGCTTCTTACGTTGCTTTGGGAGTGAAATACACCGACACTGGGATTACCATTATTGGTACGACTGAACCTTATAACTTCACTGTAATGGCTGGAACTTCGTGTGAGCACTTCATTTCGTACGAGTTCGCGTCGTACATTTCTGTTCAATTTGGTGACTTCAACTTGCCGAAAGGAGACTTTGTAACCATCCGCTCCCCTTATGAAAAAATTACAGTCTCACACACGTACACAGGTAGAGGTCGTGATAAGAGCGGGACCTTTGTCGCCGCTTTCGTCCCGGGCGATTCCGTGATTGTAATATACAAGTCCAATAAAATAGAAAAATCAGGTCAAGGCTTTCGTATTACTGGATTCTCGCGAGGATATCCGAAAATGCAACACGAATCAGTTTGTGGTGACGGAGACCAGTCACTTCCTGCCAAATGCTACGCCCCAGGCACCAATTTGTCCCAAGAGCTACCCCACGCTTATAAAAAGGCACGTGCTGTTGCTCGTCTACTTGTTGACGGTGTCTTTATGTGTACGGGCTGGCTTGGAGGAAGTGAAGGTCACTTGTTTACAAACTACCACTGTTTTGAACAAAGAGAGTCAAGGCATTCAATTGACATTGAATTTGACGCGGAAGGTGCGTCGTGTAGTGACCAGTGTGAAACACAATTCGGATGTCCTGGTAAATTGATGGCTACGACCTTGACGTTTGTTGCTGGCGATGAGGACATTGACTATGCAATCTTAAAGCTACCAGATTGTGTCAATCTCTCTGCATACGGATATCTACAATTTCGAGAATCTGGACCGGTAGCGCATGAATCAATCTATTTACCGCAACATCCAGACGGGCATGCAAAGCGCATTGTTAGTACAATTGATGGTGGAGAGAGTACAACAATTCATAATGTTGGAGAAAATGGAAAGTGTGGAATCGATCAGATTGGTCACGACGCAGATACTCGAGAGGGATCGTCAGGTTCACCACTCATCGCTTCAAGTGATAATTTGGTCGTTGGAATCCATCACTGTGGTGGGTGTATGAATGCGGCAATTGACGTTCGTACGGTATTGACAGACTTAGCAATGAAGAAGATCACGATCAAGAACCTCGTGCCGTCAAAAGGTGTTACCCAGAAGAGTCAACTGGCATGCGCAAATATGTCGTGTGTTGAAAAGCAGAAGAAGTCAAAGCAAAACTAGACGATTTGTTTAGTAGTTTGACGAGCATTGAATCGAAACTAACAAGTCAACAAGGTAAATGTGGTGACAGTAAAACTGGACGTTACAAAGTCGTCTTCAATGAATGGTAGTATCGTAACCTAGTCTATACTCATTTAAGCGATTAACGTCATGAATTTACTGACTTCTGCTTCGACTTGGTTGTTAAAAACCGTGCACAATAACTGAAAAGATATTGTGCACGGTTCATAAGATCGCATCTATGCAATACGACGAAAGAACATTTTAAAGATGTGAGCTTTTTTTATCTCAATGTATTTATTTGATCAAACTTTGCTCGCATGCGCGGCACTTTGGCCGTCAAGCTTAGTGATAGTCACACGTGCGCGCGTTGTGGTTGGGAGAGCAACAATTTAATCAATATTGCCGCGAACTTCTCCACGACCACGGACCCGCTAATTTACGATTCCATCTAAAAGCGGCGGTTGACATATTCATCAAATGTCAGCTCAATTTTGCCACCGTCGCCAAAATTTTAGCTTTAACGTAAGCATCAACCAAGTCGTACAGCTAAAATCATACATATTCTCACTGTGTCCCTCTTTGTTCAATGCAGACGTGATGTGACAGCATATTGTTTTAATGAGCACAGGGAGATCTCGCTTTCTAAATCCACTTGTTTCAGATACAACAGGTTTTGTCTCTAATAATTTAGTGAACTGTGTTTTTTAAGCTGTACGTTTCGACAAATATTTAAGTCTAACTGCTGATAAAATTTATAATATCAAAATTAAATTAAAATAAGATACATTAAAGGGAGAATAAAGAAAATGCCCAACTTTTGCCATATATAAAAAAAATATCTCAACTTTTGTCATATATAAAAAAATACCCCAGCACGTAAATTATCACCGGGGAGCCGTAATATTACACAACAGAATGTATTGTATTAGGAATGAATTAGCATAATTTTTACAAAATACCCCACAATAACAAAGTATACATTAATATGCTATAACCTTTCAGTTTACTATTACCCAAGTAAAGCTAAAAAGAATTCGTGACCTCTAACCAGGTCCCACATTAGCTCAGATGTTAGAGCGCTTGCAAAATACAAGCAAAGGTCCTTGGATCGAAACTAATGGGTAGGTAGTTTGTTGGAGTCTCATGTCCCATGTTCCTGTGTCCCATGTTCCTGTGTCCCTTGTCCCTATGTCCTATGTCCTCATACCCATGTCCTGAGTTCTATGTCCCATGTTCTAAATAGCTTACTGAAGAAAGCACATCACTGGGCATTAAGTTTTAATTGTTGGAACTTATAAATTTGTGGAATTTGAAAACGCGAACAAAAACCTGCCAAAATATTTATTTGTAGATTACAGAAAAACAGTGAAGTGCTGGAATTAGTAACGAAACGAGCTTCGCTCAGCTGTCGATGATAAAACAAATAAATATAAAAAGGCTCGTGTGGACAATATTACCGCTGGGGTGGTGAATACAAATTTTAATGCAACCGGCGGATATTACAGAGGTGCAAATGGATTGGCTGGAACGCGCAAGGACGCTCAATCTACCAAGTCAGCAGCGATAATGGTACGATGGGAGGACCGACAGGAAGGTACACAAGATATTTGGTTGGAACGAGGCGTTGGGAACTTCATCAATCTCACTTCAAGCAGTAATTATGTTCAACTGATTCACGGGAAGCGGAAGATCATAAAATGACACACTATCAAAGTAGAGATCTGAGGAGTTTTGAGTATAGCAGCTAGGCCGAATATAGCGTTCCTTCTTGTTGATGGAATTTTCGTCAACAGCGATGAAGATTCACGAAATTATGTGTTCATTTGTATCGTAGACAAGCAAAACAAGAATTTAATTCAAGGTTTTGGGTCTTTCTCCAATTGCCTTACATTTCCCCACAAAGAAAGAAACTTAAGCTTTACACGCTTGGCTATATTGCCGGGTTACCGCTAGTGCTCCGAGGATGCCTAAAACTGCTCGTAAGCTACAATACGCTTAGCTACGGCACTGCTAGAAGTAACGCAAAGTCGGTACCATGCGCTTGGTAGATTACAGAGAATTAAGCGATACATCGTACAGAAGGTGATGGTCACCTCTGTTGAGATTGCGTGCAGATGACGTTACGAGGAAAACGTTAACGGTCATAATTACTGTTATGGTTATACATATTGATTATAGACATAATAGTAGTCGTTTATAGTTGCGAATTAAGGACTATACATAATGTATTGGTTTTGCCATCTTTTTACAACCTCTACTCCTGCCATGTCAACCTGCTGGGGTGTGCTTATCAAATTATTACCAACAGCTGATAATACAATCGTATCACACAGATCCGTCGTTGTCAATTAAAGCTTGATATTTAAAACTTCCGCGCCTTTCGCCGCCAAAAAAAAGAATATTTTAAGTCTTCTTTGAAGCATGAAAGAAACCATCAAAAATATCTACTGACATCATGTGGTCGTCAATGTAGCAAGTGTGCAGTCGAGTGAAGAAAATTTTTGAGCCTATTTCTGTAGTTAATAGTCTTGCGCATGGCTTAAAGGTATGACAAAACGGCATATCATAAACGAAAGATGTAATCTTTGAAAATCACTTCTGTAATCGTATGTTGCGCTAGTCGGGAACATATTGTTTCATGTTGTACGTTCTGCAAATAACATAAGGTCGGAACTCACTGAATTGTCAGTACATTTCTGGTCGTGTTATGGAAAATATTCGAGTACTTTCTTATGAAAAGTGCAGGCTCAATCATTTTAATAACTGACAAGAATCATCTTCTGTTTCAAGTCACTCATTTTGCATTCAAAACACACACACAATCAAAAATGAAGCTTAACGTATTCGTGCATATGGTAGCAGCTCTGCTGCCGATGAGCTCGAGCACCGATGTTATGCTGATTCGACAATTGACAACAGATGAGAAACTCAAAGTCGGAAATTCTTCGGAGGAAGTCACGAGTGGTAGTGCGAGCGATGAAAAGCTGAATATTACAGAATCGGGATCTCAGTTTCTTGACGAAGGCAATAGAAGTGAAACTCACGTCACTTTAGCGGAAGGGTTGAGAAATGAGGCCAACCAGACTACGCTGGTCGAGCCATTGACAACAACAGCGTCACTCCAGACTACTGGCGACACGATGGACGAGATGGATAAGGCAGGCTCAAAATTTAGTGGTGATGACAGCGAAACGAACTCGAGTACTCTAACTTTAACAGGTGATTCTACATTGGCGAAGGCATCGGATGGTGTTGACATAGAACAAGAAGTCGATAAGACGAGCCACGATGAAGACAAGACTTTATTATGCCAATTTCCTTTTCACACAACGCATGAATCAAACGCTCTTCAGTCAAAAGCTGAGGAAAAAGGTAACAGTGGTAATCAAGAGGTCTCAAAAGACGAGGTAAACGGAGAAGAATCTAGTGAAGATGGATCCAGCGAAGACGACTCCAGTGACTCTAGTGAGGATATTTCAAGTGACAACTAATTCAGAAAATAGGACCCAGGGGGGAACGTTGAGCAAAAGGCGATGTGATGTTATTAAATATTTTGCTCCTTCGTTTAGCCTCTGATTTATCTTGATATGTTCACGTATGTATTTATTGCTCTCTCGTTGCTATTATTTATACCTATGTCAACTCAGCCCACGCATGATCTCTAATTTTATCGCATGCACAATATAATTATGATCGCGAAACAAAATTGTATCTAATCGCAAAAAGGATATAAATCAATAAGCCAAGGAGCCCCATGAAGAGAATGCATTCGCAGTAGCCGAATTTTTGAGAACAACTCTATCTTTGCACAAATTTAAAGTATTTGAGCATGTCACATTCTCTTGCTTGCGAAAACCAAAGTATTTCTTTGTTGCACTGAGTTTGCTAATGTAAACCGTTTCGTTTATCTCGAATCGGCGCTGGTGTAGCAAGAAATTTTTACAGTTTCTGCAAGAGTTGGTAAATCCAAGACAGTCCAAAAGAAACTTAAATCGATGGATAACGTCTTTACAAATACTGATAGGATCCTACATAACCCATGCACTTTGACAGGTGATCAGACTTTGTGGATGTACATATACCAATTGTTACTCGAAACAAAGCATGAGATCAGATGCGAAATTTCCATTGGAGCCTTTTGCATTTATTGTCAGACTGCTTGAACATATTCCATCGCGGCAGATATCGGATGATCTCTACCTCGACTCCGTTTGTTTGTATCAAGATTAAAGTAGGAGGTTTGCTGTTAATACTGAAAGCTAGACTTACTGTCTCGCTCGAAAAAGCCAGCAACTGCAGGAAAGTCGCAACGCTATTTAAGTGGATAATAGAAGATGCCAGAAATGCGGAACATTCAAAATAACAAAGCTCTAAAAAAAAGATGTATTGGAAGTTTGTTTATGTATATTTCCTACCTGAAACCCTTCATTCATCACTGGAGTCTTCTTCACTGTCGTCTTCGTTACGAGGTTGAGCGTTCTCTTCAAATGACTCTTCGTCTTTGTTACTCTCCTCTTCATTTTCGCCTTCACCAGCAGCTGATTCTGCATTCGACAGTACAATCTCATCCTTGTCTTGATTGGTCTCCTCAGATTCTTTCTTCTCTTCAGCTCCATTCGTTACCTCGATTGGTTCGACAATTGTTGGAGGTGCCATGGTGCTAGTCAAATTCTGGGGGTTCACTTCGTCCCCATTTACATTGCCCACTAAGGGTTGATTTACCGACGAGTTGTTAGCCATTGCGATCTTGGACGACGTAGTCGCCACCGAGTGCTCATCCTTCGCTGCCTCTTTCTCTGCTGTCTCTTCCTCCAAATCCTCATGTTTTACTGTCCCGTCAAACTCTTTACCCTCATCATCGTGGGAAGTGTTGTGTTCATCCTGACGATTTTCATCCAAGTTTTCGGCCGAAGAGTTCGCTCCGCCCTCTTGAGTGCTACTATCATCTTTTATTTCAATGTCATTCAAGGGACTTGATGTATGGACCGCATTTGCTGATGATGTGTTGAACACAGCGGTTCTGGATTCCGCTGCTGCTGTCAAGTTCTCATCCTTTGCCGTCATCACATCCTTGGTCGTCTCTTCCTTGCTTATCATAATCTTTTCCGTCTGTACAGCGTTTTCTTCCTCTTTAGGCTGAGATTTATCAAGCTCATCCATTTCCTCTTCAATTGACTCTTCAGCTGGTAAATTGAAATCTCCTGTTTGAGCGCTCGCCTTTTCTCTATCAAAGCCACCTCTCCAGGTTTTTTTTACGTTAGCTACATCACCTGACAAAGCATTGTTCTTGGCACTCGACGGCGCTGTCGATGCCAGCAGCCCGTCCTGAAATGTGTTGTCCTCAGCTGTCCCAGTCTTTGCCGTCTCATCCGTTTTTTCCTCGTCTTCCACTTGCGAGTTGTTGTGTACTTCCTCATGTTCTATGTCCAAGATTTTAGCACTTAAGTCCAATTTGTTGTCGTTCACTCCACCCGTCAAGGAATTTTGAAGACTTGAATTCTCCCTGATGACGGCAGTGCCCGAAGTCAAAGGCAGAGTCATTGTTAGTATTGCAGCAGCGAGCACAGGATGATAGATCTTCATTCTCACTAAGTGGCTTGTCGCTGGACAGATGCAGAATGAAAGGTAGTAGCTGCAGATCGATTATCAGTTTCACCTTTCATTTGGACGATTGATACTTGAGTTGATACCCAGTACTCTTCATATCTTCATGCCAAGTTTCTTTAGCAAGCTGCATTTTCTTAAGCAAAATTTAGGCCTTTTGAAAGTTAATTAGAAAAATCCTGATTGAAGCCAGTGTTTTCAGACCTTTCTGTGTTACAAATTGATAACGACGTGAGACGTGTCGCGTTAGCTCGTGGTATTGCTTTGTAAAGAGAAAGAAAGAACAATAGACCATACTTTTATAATTACTAGTATCATAAGATGCAGCGTTCTTTTCACAGCGTCAGTGTCAATTTTGGAGTATATACTGTGTACACTGGATGAACACGCTAGATGAAGTTGTGCGTATGATCTACATATTGCATCTCTGAGCATTTTAGGCTGATGATGTGAACTATCACGCACAATGTCAGATTTTACAGGTCCATTATTAATGCACATTTTATAATGTATGCGTATTATTTTCAGCGACTAGCTTGATCTATACGCCAGGGAAAGCCTCCTCAGCATTTTTTTCCTTGACCTATATTCGAAACGGTCGGTGTGCACTTTCTAGAAAGTTTAAGTTACCGTATAACACCTACAGATACTGGCTCAATACATGTCTGTATTGAAAGAATGAATCAAATAAAATGCTGTTAGTATGTCCCAATTCTTTTGCAAGCTCTTAGCTACGGTGACGTGTACTTAAATTTGTAATGGGCTATAACTGAAGAATTTTTAAGACTTAGATCTAGTTCTGTCATTACTGACGCTGACACCGTTAGATTTAGCGGCTTTTTGCGTCACAAGTTTGTTAAGTAGCTAACCTTTTCAATTTACAAGTTTTAGAAAGGCAGAAATCTTCCCAAAACGAGGGCTAGTAATTACTAGCTCTGTCTAATATTAGTGATCTTCACGGTGATGGAATCAGGCGTGAGTGAGACTTAAAAGAGCTCCTCTGAGATACGACTGCATGATTACTAAGACATCACGAACTTTTCGCGAGGCAAAGCATTCGCATAGTCTTATCTTATCCGCGACTGTCTATATCTACCTCAAATGAAGGCCCAAGCCTTTCACTTTTCACATTTTAAACTGTTCACACATATAGCATCAAGATAAGCCAACCAACTCTGATGGGTTTGTACAGCAACGACAAATGGACTATAACAAATCATGACATTTAAAACTTGTCATCAAAGTGCAATTGATATCTCATTTTGCGAGTGTTTTTTTATCCTTGTATAGCCGCCTACCGTCGTTAAGTTTAGTATTTCCAGATAATCAGCGTCCATTTATGTTTCATCGAAGTAATCACTAATTCAATTGCCTTCCGTAAGAAATTGCTTTAAAAAGGCGAAGATGGAAAAAATGTGAAGCTAAGGCAACTAACGATGTTCCACCTTTGTTGAACAATCATATGTCCCTGTGTTCAAACTTTAAGCATGAAGACACCTATTGTCGATTATAGGCCTATTGTTTTAGCTTTGGCATCGTTGGCGAAAACGAAAATACGCGATTGCACAACAATTTAAGAAACATTCGATGTGGCAATCAGAAGCACTTCTTATGCGTGTCATCGTGATCGACATCTAAAGTAAATAGTGGTTGGTTTAATGACGATTCCATGAAGGGTGCATATCAAATTCATGCAGAATATACGCCTTCCAGCCCGCAGCAGTTCAATTTGGAACTTATTCAGGAGCGTCACCTACTGGTAATTGGAATGGATTATGAAATTACACACCGTTTTGATCAGTAAGTATTACAGAGAAAGGCTAAGTGCAATCATCTGAAATCAGTTTTGGTCTTTGACTTTCTATCCGAGATGGTTTTATCAAACTCAGCTATCGTGCCACCCATTTTGTATCTGGCCAGGGACAAGTCAGATAGTGAAATGAACGTATATTGCACCGCGCTCGCTGTTGCGGTGTTGATGACGACATTGCCGATAGGTTCGTGTACTGACGTCGAACATGTTCTGCGAAGTGATGAGAAGGCGAGTCTCAGAAAACTTAAGTCGGGATTGTTGACGAGGCAAGATGATACAGACGCTACGGGCTTAATAGCTCAAAGCCAGGAGCTTAAGAAAAGGGATAAACCTAATGATTTTGAGACTAACGATAAGTGGAAGCTTGCAAAAGATATTAAGATAACCAAAGGAGAGGCGACAAAACGAGAGCGCTTGACATCAAGTGCATCGCCTAAGATTGTTGGGCTTAACACTTTGTCTGTCCATAGATATATATCAAAAAATATCTGGCGAGACATCACTGAAAGAGAAGATGTAAGTGCTAAAAAGGGAGATTTGAGCTCAACTCCGAACTCGGAAGATAAGAAGAGTGACAAACACGCCAGCTTTCAGGCTAAACAAAACGAAGAGCTCGCGAAAATTGATGCCGCAAAGGTAGCCAAAGTAGACTCAGTCAAAAGCCAGCGCTTCCAACCGCCTGTGATGCCCAAGACCCCTGAATCTAGCACTTCGCCAATCACAGGGGCTAAATCGAAAAAGATCTGGACAGACGCAAATAAGAAAGAAGAGATGAGTGCTCGAAGAAAGCGTTCAAATTCTGTTCCGAGCTCGGAGGATAAGAAATGGAAGGAAAACAACGGCTTCCAAACGAAAGGAAATACTGACCTAGCAAAGGGGGATATTTCTAAAGGTGTAACTGAAGAGAGAGCCAACAACATGGGATTGACGACCGCGGTGCCGTCCAAGGTCGCGGATTCCAACTTTCCGTCACAAAATATAGTCAAAGCAAAAAAAGTCTTGAAAGACGATATGAAGGAGAATAAGGTGATCGATCAAACGGTAAGTCGGCTTCCGTTTCGGAATTCGGAAGATAAGGAAAGAAGAGAACATACCGACTCACACATTTTAAGGGCTAAACACCCCGTGGCGGACGTTACTGTGGTCAAGAAAGAGTCTGCAAACGGCAAGGCTCCAATTCCTGCACCGTCCACACTCGCTGAGTACAACTTTCCATCGAACAATGTGGCCAGAGAAACTAAGCTATGGACAGACGTTAATAAAAAAAGACAAGGATTCAATCAAATAGAAGATCTAACTTCATCTCAGAATCATGTAGATATGAAAAGAAAGATCTCCACCAACTTTCAGATTGAAAGATCTACATATCGCGCGAAGGACGTTACTACGGTAAAGAACGAAGTCGCCGATGATGTAGCTTCAATATCTACGCCGTCCACAATTTCTA